CACCGTAACTTTCATTTCGCGTCACCATAACCTTTATTTTAAAGAGCCCCTCAATCTAAATGGGCAATTCAACTTTCTCAAAGCCCTGGTTTTAAACACCGTTCAAAATCCATGAGCATCACAATATCTATGCCTTTAATCCTTGCACACTTCTCGATCTGCCTGTTCCACGAGGGCACCGAAAAACTTAATTACTGGGTATCTTAGCTTTTATTTCCCAGAGGCACACACTTTCTGAGACACCACAAGGCAGGGGCGGGCCTAGAGGGGGTGGGGCCATGGGGTCATTCCCCTTCCCCTTGGACCCAAGGAGGTTTGGACGCCCTGAAGAGACACTAAATCTCATCGCAAAGGGGCAACAATTCTTTCATTTCGGAACCACATAACCTATATTTTTATGAGACGCCAAACGTAGGGGCACCATGACGTTCGTGTCGCGGTCTCGACGAAACCCTGCGTCGGCCCATGCGGTGAGGGAGCACCAATTCCTCCATTTCGGGGCAACATGACCTTTATTTGCAAGAGGCACTCTATTCCAGAGAGTACCAGAAAGGCACTGAAAGAGCCATTATTTATTTTGAAAGAGCCATTAATTCCAAGGGCATAACTGTGTTGAGCTTTCCGCGCCGATAAAATCCTGGACCGGACCCATGGGCAAGGAGGCACAAAAAGCGTCCTTGCGGGGCGATGTCATCTTGCTCGCCAAGGGGTACTACATCAAAGCGGGCCATTTACAAAGCCCAAAACCATCATCTAAAAGGACACCAAAATCCACCGGAATAACAGTCGGTGTGCCTTTCACTTTGGAAAAATTCTGAATCGGACCGCTCAGGGAAGGGCACCGTGTCCAAGGAAACAGGCACCAAGACCCTCCGTTGTCATTGGGGCTTTACGACGTGTCATCACAATGTCCGTGCCTCTCCATTAACGAAATCCTGCATCGGTCCATTCGGCCAAGCGAGACCTCTCTTTCCAACCACCATTGCATTTATTTCCTTGAGACACCAAATGCAAGTGGGTGATTGAAGGGACAACTGAAGGTGGTCCAAAACCTCCCTTTTAAGGGCACCGAAATACAAGGGCACCACAGTTTCCCTGCCTTACACTTTTGAAATCCTGGTTCGGCTCCTTCGGTGAAAAGGCAGCAAGAACATTGATTGCGGGCAACATTCATTTTTACGATCACAACGATCACCACATTTATTAAATTTTATGACCCCCAATTTAAATCGGAACATCGCAATCGGCCAAAACATTCATTTTAAGGCCATGCAAGATTCCAGAGGCACTTAAAATGGCCCCTAAAGCTTTATGTTAGCAGGGAATCGGATTAAGCACGACTCCTCTAACCTTCCATTTAGGCTTCAAGGGTCTAATGGGTTCCAAATGTCCCGTCTTTGGTCCCTTGGGGCCAAAGATCAAGAGCACGATTAAAGGGTCCGAAGGGCGGGCCAGAGGTCGTATGGAGGGATCACAGCCTGAAGGCTGGACCCTCAAATGTAAGAGGAGCTCTAGCACTGATCGGACACCCGTCCGACTGTGTCTCTATTTGAAGCAACTGACTGAGGACAGGCATATCGAACAGCCTGTTCCGTGCTACTCTGGGGCGTAGCGGTTATTTCCCGAGCAGAGACAGGGCCAAGATCTCTAAATGCCAATTAGAAGGCATCCTACATTCGTCGGGACACTTGAAACAATGAAGGACCCATATTGCTGGCCAGTGACCGTAGTCCCTAGCAAGAGGCCATGGTGGCGGCAATGAGCCCCAACCAGGAGCACATTTGCTGAATAGGGACGATGATGGGCCCCCGTATGTCAGAGCCTATTATGCTGGTCTGGACCCTCCTGACAATGAACGGATTCGTTCATTGGAGGGAACCGGTCGTGATACATCCTTCTGATGGTCCCCGTACGGTCCTGTGGACTATCACTAGACTAGAGCCGATGGGACGTAATGCCCTTAGCTGCTGACCAGAACGTTTTTCCAATGCAATTTAGTTGGCTGACCTGTTGATTCTCTGAACGGGTTCAGCAGCTGCAGCATTACGAGCAAGAGAGATTGCGTCACTGCGCCTTCCCGTAATCCGTCCCGACTACCAGTCTAAAAATTGCACTAGTGAAGCAACCGGCAAGAGGACACCTTTTACACGCATACCCACGGACTTCATAAAACATTGGAAAGTACCGATTTCGATACGTGGTCATTTCCACCCGTCTGTTGACCGCTGCCAGGTGCTGTTGCAAGGTTCCATGTGCTACAATGTTGTAACTACAACATTTTTGTTCCGACGTCTCACAGAGGCACCTCACGGAGGTGGCACTAAAGAATCGCGTACAGCCCGACCACAATACTCTCCTCGCGCATCGAGCGCTTACACAAAACACTGCTATTTTTTCATCTACACACAAAACAATGAAACTCAAGGTACTGGATCCATTACTCATTCATAACCACCAGCGACTTCTAAACAAAGAAATGAATCAAACTACTGAGTTGTCTACTTGAAGCAGCATCACAAGTAAATCACTTAGGCAAGGAACAGTAAACTGATGAATGACGCGGGCATTTGTGGTTGGCATGAAATGTTGTGATTTGCTGTGTTGATGGTGTCATTCGCAGTGTGTGGTACTAATGATACCTTCTACACGGCTAAGGAACTGTTCTTGCCAAGTCAAAATGGCAGTGAGTGGCATCCAGTGAAAACTCTATTATTGGTCGGCGTGCTCGTGTTTTATGCTCCGATTTAAAGTGCTTAGGGTGCCGAAAGGAAATTGACAGCCAGATGTATTCAATAGTCACCAGTCATATACCGTGCAAGTTCTGCGAGATTCGTGTGTCTGTCGTCATAAAAGCGTATATATATATATATATATATATATATATATATCATACATCAATATGATACGTTATGTGGGATTCGGTCAAAAGCACCCGCCAGAACCAACACGACACCATATCGGAGTGATCGGAAGCAGTGAACTTCACGGTAACTAAATCTCCGCACATGTACACTTTGAAAATGCTAGACAACTGGAGAAGTCCCGTTACTTTGTGAGTTCCTTAGACTTCAGGGCTGTATTCAACAAAAATCATCGTATTCCGGCCACTAAGTTTGAATATCCTCATGTACGCAGTTCGTATACGGGAACCTATATTACTGCACACAGCCCCAGAAAACTAGGCGTGCTTTGAATGCAATACATGGAGGTTGTTCATCTTCGTCGGATCATAGTGGATTCTGCTATTTTAGGGCTAAGTGTTTTGAAGAAAACATTGCAGTATACACTTAAATTGGCTGCTAAAAACCATCAATATGAAGCACCAGCTTGATTCTTAGCTTATACACGGTTAGCCGAGTAGTTGATGAGATCAGCTGATGGCTGAGGACCAATACGGAGTTCTTGCTTTCTGTGTTGCAATGGAATACAGAATATCCTATCCTTCAAAATCTATTAAAACGTAACGCAGACGTAAAATAATCGTCATAAATTGAATAAACAATGAAAATAAGATGCGCAACGTCGGCTGCGTTTAAAATTGTTTCAGTGACAATAACGAATTCATCGGCATAATCACCATAGCCGCCAATGAAGTCATCAGTCGGTAAGAAGTAAAGCCCCAATAAAAATGATTCAGATTCAGATCCCCCTCAATAGCGCACGCCCTCCCATAAGATGGAAAAACCCGATACCAATAAGGACGGCACCTGAGCAATCGAAACTGCCGTGGCCGGCTAACAAAGAGGCTCCAATGAACAGTGAACGGTCCTTATAACAAGCGAGAAGAACCTTACGCCAACATGGTTGGACCCTTGAACGGTCGGGAGCACCTCGGCAGGCTAACATATAGGGTCCGGCCGGAGTACACGATACCCTGAACAGAGGGCACTAGCCGAAGATCAGTGTACATGAATTAACGCCCTGTGTGATCAAGAGTGCCCGGGCAGGTTAACAGAGAGAGCTCTGACAAGTGAAAGGTCCTCAGCAAATAAACTAAAAAAGGGAAAGAGCCATAGGCTAATGAAGAGGGGCCCTGAACATCCAGTGCCTCGGAGCGTTACGTTATATGGGGCTCCAGCACAGCACGGGGTCCTCCAAGCAAGTGGAAAGAACCCGGTACCAATATGAAGGGCCCCTGAGCAACCGAGTGTACCCTGGCATTTGGGAGCCCAGGCGGCAGCGGCGGGACGGGAGAGCCCGCTTACCCCGCGGGCGCAGCTGTCCCCGCCGAGCCGGCGCCGCCCGCCATGTCTCCGGCCGCGCCGCTGCCCGGCGCATCTGCGCCCAGACCGCCGATAAGCCCCGGGGCGCGGCCGCAGCCAGGCCGGACACGGCCGCCAGGCGTCTAGGTAATTTATAGTAACCAAGCTTGACTGTACGCATCACGTGATTATCAGTGGAATGCCACGTTGACTGCAACCTGTTGACAAAAGAGGGGAAATAGCGGCAGGGCCCAAGGTAGTGTTATCTAGTTACAGTGTACACTATCAGTACTTCTATAGTGTTATCTAGCGGCAGAAATCAAAGCTAGTCTGGTTGCCATGGATACTGGACGTTTTGAACACTAGACATTATGAGGTATGGACGTTTCAATACGCATCCGACGGGCCACAGCCAGACTCCGACGCCATGTCACTACGCCATGTAGACCAGATCTGAATTCGGTCATCAGATACCAGCGAAACTGCATGTTCCGGTGGCAAATGGTGCTGCGACAGTGTGGGAAATTTACATGGATGCACGCTGTTAATCTTAAACGCCGGTACTACGACTAACATGATCCGATCCGAATTCGGTCATCAGATACCGGTGAAACCGCATGCTCCGGTGGCAAACGGTGCTAGGCCATCGTAGAAAAAAATTCACATGGATGCACGCTGTGAGTCTTAAACCCTGGTATTACGACTAATACGCATCTATTACATGATACACATGGCCGTCTACAACGATCAACTTCGCCCTCAAAGGCGAAAAACTCAAGCAACTCAAGGTATTCCACGTAGTCTTTCTGTTTTTATTGATTTTCTGGCACAGAAATAAGAGTTCTTATTGCACAACTGATAACAGGTTACCGACACAGGCGGATTACAGTGTTAAGCGGTGCTTGCACAAACAACATCGGCGCCCGACAGGAGAGCGCGCCTCCGGCCGCCGGCACAGCGCCGCCCTGTCCGCCACCGGGCGCCGGCGTTGTCGTTGTCCGGATTTACACAACGCAACGCCCAGCACGGCAGCAGCGGACAGCGACGGCGGAGCGTACGACAACAGCAACCGGCGCCGGCGGCCGGGACGGCAGCACGGCCCCGCCCGGAGGAGGAGCGAGGCGCCACCGACCTGTCGCCAACGCTGCCTAGTCGACCGGGTGGATCGGCGTGTACGCGACACATACGGAGCGCAAGGACCGGCGATGTCGGGGAGAGGAGGGGGACGGGTAACGGGATGAAAACCATGCGGTTAGAGGCGTGATGAGGCGTCTGCCAGTCGGAGCCGAGGGCACAGAGCTCGGACATCGCCCGGAATAGTCCATCCAAGCCGAAGAGGCAGTCTGGTCTGCTATTCCATAGCTCCCCAACCGCTGACGGGCAAGAATAAAAGCACCGAGGTTGTGGTAACAGGAGGTGGCACGAGGTGTCTGCCATCCACACACACGCACACACACACAAAAGCGGAACCACGAATGCTGCCCGGTTCAAAACAGACAAAAACGCTAGTTGCGAACTCCACGGTTACACACAAACAAGCCAGTCCCAAGTTCAGAAATTTCTAGGGACACAAAAACGTCGGGACGTCAGGGGCCAACGACGCCGATCAGACGCGAGGACGTGCTCGTGCGCACGATAAGACGGCAGGGGGCACCCGAAGACCACTCCGCAGTAGCACTTGCGGACACGAACGGAGCACCCCCTTCCCCCTGCGCTGGGGAGGTGGCACGAGTGCCAGCCGGGCCCGTCCCACAGGAGCTAGAGTCGTACTGTCGATGAAGGGCACGGCGGGACAGGTGACTCCCGCCTGACCAGCGGCGCAGATGGCCCAGGGCGGTGCGACCCGCCTCCATGTAATGACGGCACTCGGCGGGCCCGCACCACCCAGCTGACAACGTACACATACACAAGCACGCGCGCGCGCTCGTTTAGACTGGCTGCGTGCACGCGCGCGCGCTGACACATATACACACATGGGCGTACGTTCGCGCGCACGCGCGCGCATGTCTGGAGGCAGGCTGTGCGCACGTGCGCGCGCAGACACGCACACCAATAAGAGGGGGAGAGAGCCCTTCAGTCCGCTCAGAGGAGGCAGGCCGGCCAAACGCGATCAGAGGTGAGTAGAGATAGAGGGAGGGAGAGAGCGCTACTGCGGCCGGCACGCCGACAGCGGCGACGGTTGGCCACTCGCAGCCGGGGGGCAGCCCCGCACCCGCCGGTTGGTTAGCGGACGCACCAGGCCCGGCGGCGCTCAGCGCGGCTCACACCAGCCGCTCAAACTATACAGCGACTGAAAGAAACCTGATGTGATATCACAGCTTTGCACGACGACGCACTTGACTGCGAAATATAATTTGATAAACTTCAACAATCGTTATAGCCGCTAGATAGAACAAAACGGCGACGGTGCGGGGCTGCCACCTGTCCGACGCGACCGACCGCCGGCCGACTGAGCGACAACGGTGGACCACGGCGGGGCACGAGAGACGACAGACGTCCGCCACGGCTAGCGGCGCAGTCGCCGTAACCCTCCGGCACCGGCGCACACGGCAGGGGCGCGGGCCGCGTCGGCTAGTCCCCAGCGGCGTGGCGGGCGCCGGAGACTGACGGGCAGTAGGCGAGGCCGCTACTGCGGCGCCGAGCACGACACGTGCGGCCTGACGACAGACGGCACAGCTGCGGTGAGACGGCGGAGCGCCGCGCTCTCCGCACCACGACCAGACAACATCCCGCCCGTCTCCGCCCTTCTCCGGTGCGGTGTCTGGTCTCTGACGTCACCACCGACTGAGCCCGTGACACCCGCCTCGCGGGTCGGCCATGGGTGAACGACGCTGGCATCAGCATCTGCCCGTTAGCTGGGACTGCCCGGGCGGACTGGTCGGCGCTGGTGACCACGCACTCGGTGGGGTTTCGGACGCATGGTGTCCGCGCCGTTTCTCATTCGACAGGGACATGCACTCGCATGCCATTTGCAAAATCAACGTCACGCGTCACGGCACCAGTGGGCTTCAGATATCCCGCCACCCATCCAGTCCCTCATGCTATCACCGCTCGTTTACCTATCTATCGCCAAGTAAATCACGCCCGGGCTGACCCGCGGAGCAGTCTTTAGAGGAAATTACTTTTGCATGGTACGTTTCATTTCGGGCTTCTAGCACTTCCTGAGCAGTTTTTACGCGCGCCCCGAGCCCATCACACACGGCGGGGCGATACAGACGTTACGGAATGGACTGGGACATTTAGGAGCATGGGGCCAGTTAACGCCCTTTGGCTAATTGCCAGCTGACCTTTCCACGCCGGTCGGGCCGAACAATGCGTTCGCTGTAGACCTCGTACTAAACGCGGCTGGACGAAGTGCCAAGCATCGTCCCCTTACATCAAAGGGGGCGGCTCATGAACTACTGGGACGTTTTTGCCGCTACGACCGCGCATGGTCACGTGGCGCCAGCGGAGGCGGAGGGTGAGTGCGCTGACCCGTCGCCGTCGCCGGCGGAACGGCCGGCCGTGCCGTTGGTGGTGACGCTGTCGAGGCCGAGTTCGGTGAGCGCTGTCAGCGCCGTCAGCGCCGCCTGGTCGTGCGCTGCCTCCACCGTCGGCCCCGAGCCGTGCGACATCTGTGGCGGCTGCGTGGTCAGCGATACCAGCGACAGGAACTCGGACTTGTTGCCCTGCAAAGCCGGGCGCCGGTTAGTGGTGGCAGCTGGCGGCGGCAGACAAGGCAGCGGCCGGGCGCGGGCCACACATGACATGACGTGATTGGTGGCATCATCCACCTTACCAGCTGCATGGGAAAACCTGTGAGTGCAAATGGGATTATTAAAATTTGAACGCCAGGGGATGTAGAAAGAAAATTATTTCGATTGTTCACCGTTACGCATTATTTGGTGATACTACTTCGCATACTACGCCTGCCTCGCTTGCACTTCAACATGGGCTCTTTGCATCCTGCCACAAATAGAAACATGGTGACTTGTCTGTCCACAAACATCGCGTTCTGGTACCCAACTGCAAGAAAACATGGCGTTCTGGCACCCGACTGCCGACAGCTGTATTCAAACCAACAGTGCTCTGGCTCACGGGCTATTCTGCACCCTAAGATGGAAAGAGCTCCTCGCTGGAACCATGACACAGGAGCCCATGTCCAGCTCTGGCTAGCATTGAATATGTGTGCAACGACTAAATGGGCTCAACTCATCCAACGACTGAGGGTAAATGATTATCGTGCGAAGAGCTGAGAATACCACGGGGAGCTTCCAACCGGACATCTGCCACCAGGCCCACTCTGGCGCCTGGCCGGCCCCCCCCCCCCCCCCCCCCCCTCCCTTGCACCTGGTCGCTACTCACCCGCGGTATGTCGGTGAACTGGACCTGAAAGCCGAGCACCTTGGCCAGGTAAAGCAGCTGCTGTTTGGGCCGTACGCTGGAGACAGTGGGGGTCGGCGGTGGCGGTGGTGGCGGTGGCGGTGGA